CCCCAAAACCCCAAAACCCCAAAACCCCAAAACCCCTAAAAATATCCTAAAAATTGAATACTCAACTGATCTTGCAAAGCATCACTTCAATAAGGGGACTTAAAAGGATTCATTCTCAACGTCACTCTCTGAACTGTTATTGCTTTCTTCACTTTCGCTATGGTTTTCTAGAAGTTTCTACTTGTATGGTTACCATGATATGGCTCAAATATAGGCCCATCTTCACTACTCATGCTAACCTGAGAAGTATTGATCTCTTGAGATGATGCGCTTTTGAACAGCCCGTTCTCTCCAAAAGAATCATCAGAGCTATTATCTGAGCTTGCTCCTATTTTATTTTAGCTGAAAGGGGTAGTTTCTGTTTACCTGGATCGAAAGAATGAAGGTCGCTGAACTCATCTGAGCTTATTTGGTCTATATTAAACTTTTATGAGACTCCCATAAGACATTTAAAGGTTCTTTAGGTTTATCCTAAAAAGTACCTGACTTTAGCTCTTCTTGGTCTTCATCCTCTGAACTCCTATTACTTGCTTTTACAAAAACCGATTGATATAAATTCTTTATTTGCTCTGCTATTGGGTGCTGCTTCTGCTTACTTCTCTGATGCTGGTTAGCTATAGACCTATATTCATGATCAATTACGTAATTACCATCATTCATAAATGATGAGTCCAATGAGTTGCTGGATGTACAAATCTTTCAAGGAGTTTGCACCTGGAAGACCTATAATTAAGGAGCAACACCATACTATTATTTAATTCATTTCACAAATATACGGTTCATCTCAGTCTCTGACTGGGGCTTATTCATGTACTTTAAGCTCATGCTTTTTCACATCCTAGACTCACATAAAATTAAGTTCTTTTCAGGATAAAAAGATCGATTTAAAAAGAGCACTATTTAGCACTTTTGAGTATACTTTCAGAACCAATAATATGCTTCTAGCAAGTTTCAAAGTCCAGAGAATCTAGAAATTTAGTAATTAAATTTCTGATTAAATTGTCCAAAATTTACATTGCTTGGCTCTCATCCATTATAATTTTCAATATTTTTGTAAGTTTTGGGGTTTTGGGGTTTTGGGGTTTTGGGGTTTTGTGGTTTTGGGGTTTTGGGGTT